CTAAACCTAATTTCTTATATTTGCTAACTGATAGCTCTGAACTATGTAGCAAACAAATCTCTGGGTCTAACCCAATATTTATCTCAGTTATGATCTCAATTAAATGTACTATTGTTTCCAGAATACTTGAATTTTTGGACATTCCCACCAAATGTGATACACTGTCCCTAACTCTCCACACCCCCGCCAACAACATGGTGATTTTTCCCCACTTATCTTATATTCAACACTCGGTGTAATGTGCCATCTTATCAAACATTTATAATTTATTTCTACATCCCTAAAACTTACATTTTTGTGGACTAATCTATTTATTTTCTTCTGTTTATCCTCATCTAATACCACCCCCATATCTCTTTCCCATTTCACTATATGCATTGGTTTTGTGTTTGTGTCTAATTCTGTGAGAATTCTATATATTTGAGCCGTGCCGTGTTTCCCATCCCCCCGTGAGTCCAACAACCTTTCAAACAAATTCCAATCCTTTTTCATTCTCAGAGGCTTTGGGAGATTTCCCACAAAACATTTTAATTGGTGATAACGCCACTCATCTAACCTAGTAAAAATCTCTCCCTTTTCCTTTGCCAGATCTTTAAATGGCTTCAATTTCCCCTCCACTGTTATATCTCTCAGTTGGACATCTTCCTTTTTAAACCATCTACCTGTTATCTCCTCTCTACCTGGGGGACAAAGTTCTGTATTTCTTAGTGGTATTAATATAGAATTAAACTCCCACACTTCATATATTTGTGTACTTTATCCCATTCCCTTAATACATTTAAAGTATATATGCTTAAGTCCTCTTTTAATCCTCTATATTGTGCAGGTAACCAAATGATTCTATTCAAATAGTTCCACTAAGTGCATTTTCAATTTCTACCCAACTTTCCCCCTCTAAATTAAACGTCCAATCAAAAATTCTCCCTAATATTACTTCTTTGTAATATCTCTTAATATCTGGAGCTCCCAAACCACCCTTCTCTTTGTCTCTACTTAATATTTCATAAGACACTCTCGGTTTTTTATTCCTCCAAATGTATCTTGTTATCATTCTTTTTATTACCTTGAAAAAAGCTTCTGGGAGTTTAATTGGGATCATTTGAAATCTATATAAGATTTTAGGTATAATTATCATTTTTACCAGGTTTATACGTCCTATCCATGATGGGGTTCCTCTTTCTAAAGTTTTTAATTCCTCCTTAACTTCGTTTAATAATGAAATCTAGTTTAGTTTATACAGATACTTATATGCAGCAGTGAGTCTTACTCCTAAATATTTTACATCTTTCTTTCCAGATGAAGGGGAATTCCTTTTGTATTTTCTCTTTTTCACTTTTTGGGATATTTTATATTTAGGATCTCAGTTTTTGTTGGATTAATTTTTAAATGTGATAATTCCCCATAATCCTTTAGCGACTTCATTAAGTTTGGAAGTGTTATCCTGGAATTCCCCACATAAAATAACAAATCATCTGCAAAGGCAGCCACTTTGTGCTCTGTGGCTTCTATCTGAATTCCCTTTATATCTCTATTCTTCCTTGTTGTGGACAACAAGGGCTCCAATGACATAACATACAATAAGGGGGATAGTGGGCAGCCCTGTCTTGTTCCATTTGACATCCCAATAGGCTCTGTTCTTTCCCCATTTACTATAATAAACTGCAGAGGGCTACCTATACAACTTTCTAATCCATTCCCTCGTTCTAGCTCCAATTCCCAGGGCTACTAAGGTGTCCATCATGAAGCCCCAGTCTACTCTATCAAAAGCCTTTTCAGCATCGATCGAAAGAACCACCGCAGGTACCTCAGGTTTTCTACTTTTCTGAATAAGCATCAGGGATCTCAACCCATTGTTTCTGCCCTCCCTCCCTGGGACAAAAAGCACATGATCCCCATGTATCCATTCGGGCATAAACTCTTTCAGCCTGTTTGCTAGGACCTTTGCATATAGCTTGGTGTCTGAGTTCAACAATGAGATTGGCCTATAGCTAGAGCACTGTGAAGCATCTTTTCCTTCCTTATGTAACAACACCACATGAGCCTGTAGAGATTCTCTTCTCATATCCATCTCTCCTCCCAGAGCATTCATATATTTCTCCAGCTTGGGACTTAGTAATTCGCTAAATTTTTTATAATACCTCACCGTGTAGCCATCCGGTCCTGGACTTTCCCCCCCGTCTCTATGCTTTTTAATGCTACTTTTATTTCTTCTTGTGTAATTTCTGCTTCTAGGGAATTTAATTGTGCTTCTTTTAATTTCGTTATACCCACATTTTTTAAATATATCCTTTTTTTCCTATTTTCAGTTTCCGTATTGTTTACTGAGTCATAGGGATTGATGTTATACAACTTTCTATAATAATCCATAAACACTTTTGCAATCTCCTTGTTTGAGTGAACCAGTTCTCCCTTGGAGCTTTTTATTTTTTTAATATAATTCCTATTTTTCTTTTTCCTTAAGGCTCTCATTAGATATTTTCCTGGCCTATCTCCCCATCTATACCTTTCACTTAGCACTTTATTATAGACTCTCCTTCTCTTCTACTCCATTAAAGTATCTAGCTCTTCTTTCTTTTTTATTATCTTCTGCTTGATTTCTTTTGCTATACTATTTTTATGTATCTGTTCCAGGTCAAATATATCTTTTAAGAGCCCACTAATTTTCTCTCTCCCCTTCTCTTTTCTTTCTTGCCCCAATCACAATCAAGATACCTCTTATATATGCCTTATGAGACTCCCACACTGTAGCTATTGACACATCCTCTGTCTTGTTCTCTCTAAAAAATCTCTCAATTTCTTTCCCAATCTTCTGGGCAGTATCCTTATCCAGGAGAAGTGCCTCATTCAACCTCCATCCTACACCACCTGTTTTCCCCCTTCCCCATCCCATCTTCAATACAACAGGGGCGTGATCCGAAATAGTCATTGCTCCTATTTCTACTTCAACCATTAACTCAATAAATCGATGTTCTATCAATATATAGTCCAACTTTGCATTTGAGAAGAATGTATAGTCTCTATCCTTCATATGCATAATTCTCCATGTGTCCACCAATTAAAACTCATGGATTGCCTTCTTTAGTAATCTCAGAGACCTACTTCCATCTCGCTGCACAGATGAGGTTGCATCTTTTTGTGGATCCGTACAAAAATTAAAATCCCCAGCCAATATCAAACGACCCTTTTTAAAGTCCTTCAGTTTTTTTAGCACACCTTTCAAATATATCTCTGGCTTCTTGTTTTGACAATATACAGTATGTTAGCTACTGTACACTCCAACCCCTGCAGTTTACCCTTCAAAAACAAATATCTCCCCTCTGGGTCCACTTTTCTATCCTCCAACTCAAACCTTATATTTTTTGCGAACCCTATTGCGACCCCTTTTGCTCTCCTAATCGGGGAATCTGCATAATACCATGTTGGATAATATCTAGATTTTAACTTAACCTTAGATTCTATCTCAAAATGTGTCTCTTGCAATAAAACCACTGAAGATGCTCTATGGTGAAGTTCTTTAAATAACCTAAATCTCTTCCCAGGACAATTCAACGCCTTTACATTATAAGTGATAACTTGTAGTTCTTCCATCCTTCTTATATCACTCCTCTTCCCCCCCATCCCTCCTCCTCTTTTTCCCTTGCTTTTGTACCCCCCTCAATCCTGCAGAGTGTCAAACCTAATACCCCTCCCCCCTCCCCATTTTTAGGCTACTAATATACCTATTAATCATTTGTGGGCAAAATACCCACCTTTAATACTTGGGGTCAAACTCCGCCCATGGACAGCTCCTCCTCCCTCCCACCTCCCCAGTACCCTCTAACTTTTAATTAAATCCCTAAAATTCCACATGCCCCTTGAAACAGAACTCTAGGTAACATACTATAAGGAAGGTAAAAGGGCAAAGAAGAGAGAGAGAGAGGAAGGAGGAAAGAAAAAAAAAAAAAAAAAACCCCCTCTCCCCCCCCCCCACCTAATTTCTCCCTCTAACAGACTGCCAGTTCTCTTGTCTTATCACTCCTATTTATCTCTCTTCTTCCTCCCATCTGGCAATCTCCATTCTATGCAACTCAAGTTTTTCACAGAAATCTCTCAAGTCTTCCGGAAATCTCAAATAAGCTGTAACTCCATCTTTCCATCCAATTAGGCATGCTAGGGGTCCCCCATCTATAAAACACATTCTTTTTCCTCATCTGTTCTAAAAGGGGTTTCGGGGATCTCCTTCTCCACAAAGTCTCCGGTGTAAGATCTGCAAATATCTAAATATCAATTTCTCCATATCTAATTGATGCTTTTCCTTTGATCTTCCTCCAAATCGCTTCTTTATCCCCATGTTTGTTAAATTTAACAATTATGTCCCTTGGTTTTTCCTTCCCAGTGCCTTGTTGGCGCTTACCTATTCTCACGATATCTTCCAGATCAATCAACTCTAGGGCAGGTCTGTCCATTATGGAGTTTAAGATTTTACCTACTAATTCTTGCAGTGTTTCCCCTTTAGCATTCTCTGGGACTCCTCTTATCCTAAGGTTACTCCTCCTGTCCCAATCTTCTTGTACCTCTATCTTAAATATCAATTTTTTCTGAATTTTCCCCATATTCTTTATTTTCTTTTCTAATTCCGCAATGCTTTGGGCCTGGTCTTTAACTTTCTCCTCCGTTTCTTCCACTCTCACCAACACCTGCCCCAAATAATTTCGGATAGTTGCCATTTCTTGCTTTATTGTCTTCTCTAGTTCTTTAAAAACATCTCTGCCATTTCTTTTTTATTCGGTACTTGTAGTTTCACTTTTGCTCTCTCTCATCTCCATGGTTCCTATTGTTTGTTGACTACTAACATTTAGGCCCCACGATAGTCTAGGGCTGCTTTCCAGACTGATATCCCCTTTACCTTTTCCGTTTGTATCTTGGGATCTTTCTGGGGTCACTTTTCCCTGGGATGTATATAGTTTAATCGTTCCCCTTTGGTACCCTTTAGGCCCACTTCCTTTACTACTTTTGTTCTTCATTGCTTCTATGGGCCTTATTCTCCTCTATGCTCTCTTGTAGAGTTAGATGATTCACATAAATATAAGAGTCCCAGCCAGGGGCGGACTGACAACTCATGGGGCCCCCGGGCAATAGGGGATCATGGGGCCCCTGTGTCCTTGCCCAAACTCAAAAAAGCCTATGAAAAAGGTACCAGGGGCATCTTATGGGGCCCCCTACTGACCCCGGGCCCTCGGGCAGTTTCCAAATGGTCAGTCCACCCCTGGTCCCAGCTTAGCCCAACTAGTGACCAATTATCCTCCTCTTTTAGGTTGCTTAATCTTCTTCTCTTCCTTTTTCCTCTTTTTCTTCTATTTCAAAGCCCCTGGGACTCCCCCTCCTCTTCCCATCACCGCTTGCTCTCCTTAACAGCACAATGGGACATTTAGGGTGTAATAATTCCAGTCAATCTCACTCACCCACGTCTCTCGTCCCTTGCTGCAAGGCAGGTGGGGGCTTCAGGTATCCAGCTCCTCTGTACAGTTCTTTCCCTGGGGGGGGGGACTCCACAGGGCTGCTTCTCCTGCTTCCATAGGGGTCTTCCAATGAAAAGCCAGTGTCCACGTCCTCACCACTATGCACAGCCAGCCAGGGAGCAGACTAGAGAGCAGAAAGCCTGGAGCAGAAAGCCATCTTCCTCTCTTCTCAGCACGCCGGCCGGCTTCCTCCGCTCCCAATGCTCCTTTGCAGCCGGACATGTGGCCATGCTGCTCTTTCGTCTCCCGGCAACCCGGCTCTCTGACCCGCCATACTCCAGGCAGGCCGGTCTCCCGCTCTCCCCCCTTCACTACTCGGGGCCTCCGCTCCCTCGCCAACACCCCCGGCACTCAGGTAGGTCTCGCCACGGCTCTTATTCCATATAGAGGGCCCCTGGGGAGGTTAGTAGAGGAGCTTAACGGTGAGCTCCTACATCAAGCCCTCTGCCGCCGCCATGCTCAGGCTCCTCCCCCCCAGCGGCAAAATTGGGGAGGGAGGGGAATTTATCACTCACTGGATGGTAATGCAAGCTTGAGCTCATGAGCTCTGTAAAAAACGTCATTTTTCTTACAGCAGTTAAGACTGGCCTGGTAGATATGCAAAAAGGTGCTTAGAGCTGCACCTAGTGGTTGGAAATGTAAATCTGAAATAATTATACACAATAATTCCTAATTTAATGACAAAAAAAAATTAAATTTGTTTATATTTGTATTTTTAGTCTTGTACACAAGCAAGGAAAATATATGCAAAATTACTATATATTCCATTTAAGATGTATATTTTTTCTTTTTCTTTGATGAAAATAAAATAGGAAAGAAGAAGTTGTATTGAATGTTGGGATGGTTATATCATCCCTGTATTTCCTTCCAATTATACTTTCACTGAATAGAAAGCATCTTTAGCAGACACAGAGACAGTCTGCACAATAACAGGCAATCTGACTGAAATCAGACTTGCTAATGCTAATCTCTTGGGGGTGTTTGAATACACTTAAAGCAGTTGATTTAGCCATTCATTTGCTCTTTGTGATCTTACACAGCATCATTATGTTTTATTCCATTGTAAAAGGCAATTTCCTAAGAAAACCAAAGAGTGCACTGGTGCCTATACTGCTGACATTATTTTGAGAGGCTACCCTTTATTCCCACAAGTGGTAAAAGATCTCTATACAGTTCCAGGACAAGTGTATTGAATTGCACAGAGAGAAACTAGTAAGCAAAGGGATAAATAGACAGAAAAGACATTCCCATCTCTCGAAAACTAAATAAATGTTTTGGATGCAGTTGCCTTTTCAATTAAACCTATCTGGATTTGAGCCAGCATTATGCAAGGGGCTAATTATTACTGATTACTTGATTTCAGGTGCGTGTCCCCATGCTTTCTTTTGCTTTCATTTTGTCACATCGTAATTGACAAAACTTTAAATCTTTGTGGCCATAAAGGTTTATACATATTAAATCATAAAACAAGCAAGGTTAGACATCAGCAAGCTAAGCAGTAGACCGTTTTGGAACATAATCATGAATATGAAAGTCATAAGAACTATGAGACAGGAAAAATGTAACCAGCAAGCTAAAATTGGAAGGTTACAGCATATATATTCTATATTCATATACAATCTCCTAGATTGTAAGCTCGAAAGAGCAGGGCCCTCATTACCCTCATGTTTTGCATTGTATTGTTATTGTTCTGTCACATGTTCTGTCCCCCTTTGTAATGTACAGCGCTGAGCGAACTATCGGCACTTTATAAATACTGTATAATAATAATAAAAAAAATAAATATATATATATATACAGTATATTGTGGCAGTGTGGTGTCCTGCCACGGTCAAAATCAAGCTGATAGCCCTGGATTCTCAACCAAGCAGGTTGAGGGGCTCCAGAAGATTGATGTAATGCAGAGGAAATTGGCTTTTCAGTTTTCTCATTTATTCATAGAGTCTGTTTTGGGACCTGGAGTCTGGAGATTTCAAAGAGATCTGGGAGGGATGAAATCTCTAATCCTGGGACCAGGTTTTGGGAATGGCCAGGACACTGATTGCACAGGTGTGTGCAGGCCTTTTCATAGAGGCCTAACCATGGTTCTGGGCTCCACCCCGGAAAACAGGAGGGCTCCACCCTGGAGTCAGGAGGTCTCCACCAAGGAGAGGTGGAAGCCAGACTAGCTGTGTGCTAGTGGCCAGCTGTGTGCGAGAGCCATAATTTGGGAAGAGTCTGCAGGAGACAGACAACAAACTGCGTACAAGCCAGGAGGCTTTGTTGTTTTTGCTTGATGGTGGATACCCCTGCGTGGGAAGCATTTTTGTTGAACTTTATCTTTAAATAAAATTGGGCAAAAAGGCCCTTAAAAAGAAGCGAGTTGCTGTGTGCTTTTGAAAGGAAAAGCTCTACCACTGGAAGCGAGTTCCCACTATATATATATATATATATATATATATATATACACACACGCACACATATATACATAGTATTACTGTGAATGTTCATAAAGAGAATAATCATAGAATTCACAGATGTATATAGTTTAGTGTTTACATCTGTGAGCCCTCCCTTTTCTCTTGCAACAGAGGACAATGCTATGTTTGAGAATGGAGGCTCAAATTCTAAAAGATTTTTGGATAGAGAATATCCTAAAACTCTAATAGAAAGAACTTATAACAGAGAAAAAAGACTTACTCAAGATCATTGTTTAAATCTGAATGATCAAAAGCAAGATGATAAAAAGATGATTATCCAGACATCATTACTAGGCATGCTATCATTACACCAGACTATCCAGACATTATTATAGGCTGCAATTCTAAATTCTGAAATTTAGGAGAATCTTCAACTTCCATTGGCACTTATTATCTCATGATCCTTTTTTTTTTAAAAAAAGCCTCACTTTGTCCTTAAGCGTGGTAAAACACTAGAAAGTATAATTGCTAAAAAAAAAAAAGATTACCTCTATAAGTAAGAATCCAGCTAGATACAAAGCCAATGCGGATAAGGGTATCTTCAAATGTGAGAGATGTAATTGTTTATGCTGTCAGGTGATTCGAGAGAGTATAGTAGATGTGTCCTCAGAATCAGGAACCTGGTAAATCAATGATCATCTCGACTCTAATACCAACTTTGTTATCTATATGCTAGAATGCATTGAAATATGGAAATTGATTCCCCACACAGGGTGGTTACTGTGGGGACATAAACAGCGCTCCAAAGTGCCACGTCTTATTTAAACAGTATTGGAAGAACAAGACCCTTATGGACTTTATAAGCACTACAACAATGGTTCATAAAAGAATATCCCTTTATTAAACATACATAGACATACAATGATACATACAATTATAAAATTATTACAGAGTATGAGCCAACCCTGTAACATACAGCTATGTATAATCAATGCAGATACATGTACTGCTAGTAGGTCCCACAGTAAGAAACACCATAACTCTGCAAAAGTTAAGAGAAGTTACTCTGATAATAGTATGTGCGATAGCTCAACATGGTTCGCGATAAAATCGCTTCTTCAGGAGCTGTAAGAAGACTTCTCTATGAAGAGATATAAGTTGATGAGCACACATTATAATCACTACCAATTGTATACATATCAGACCAGTTGGACAACTAAAATACCTTAAGATACATGCATCTGCACGATGCAATGAGAGGGAGCGTCCAGTCATACCATGAGGGGCCAGTCGATGAGGAGATTCCCACAAAGCTGGGGGGGACAAGCCACCTGCCCCGTGTCGATACCTAACATATAGAAAGTATGTAATTGTGTACCCTTAACGGTTAATACCACTATAATTATAAAAATCAGACTAACCTTCTCACTAATTGAACATAGTAGAGTCAGTGGTTCTGGTCCAAAGAGGGCACAAATAAATAGACTAACACAGGGCCAGTGTTATGTGGTCTCCTACATAGGACACCAAAGGGGGGGGGGGAGAGAAAAATGATTATACAGTATTCGATTTGTGGAGCAAACTAGCCCCATTTGCCCCCCCCCCCCCACTACTAGGATGCCAAATATAGAGGCAAGTATTAGCAAAAACAGTGCAAACATTAAAGAAATGTCAAGCCTTACTGGCATATAATAGATCAATGAGCCTAAGTGAGCTTCCTAGTAATGGCAGTATGATAATATTATTTTTTTACATAGCCTGTTGATTTAAATTGTGGCTCTTTCGGACAGCATACATACCCCAGACACTCACATGTCAATCTGTAAAAAGACACATGTATATAGGACCCCATAAGTACATCCCAATAGTCCACATTAAATCCCAGTATTCATTATAGCAAATGGTTGTTCTGTTGTACCTGTTTGGAGCTGCAGATGTTCTTTGACCACAAGAGATCTTAAAATTGCCCAGGAATCTAAAATGCCATTAGTGTGTCATGCAAAGGGTCCTAAAGTTGCCTGGAAATGCACAAAGCCTCCGCCATAGTACCAGGAGCCACCACCCGCCCTCTCTATATAAGGGATCCCAACACAAGAGCATACAGGTGACAAACAGTGTCCATCATGGGTTACCACAGCATGTAGTAGTGATGCCCATAAAAGCACTGTGGCCAGGCCCCCGCTCAGCATGGTGGGGACCATTGCTGCGGCGCCACCAGCTGCCCATCAACCAACGGCCTACTGTACAGGGACCATACATCCCCCCTCCCCCAAAA